AGTAATTCAACTTTCAGGGGCAAGTACAGTTTGATTATTTTATCACCAGTCAGTGCATCGTTTTTGTTCTTTAACCAGTGATGTATGTTTCAGATAAGAAGTAAAGCATAAAGTATATGAGCATATAAGCATATAAAGCATAAAGTGTAAAGTGTGTGTGTATGTTTTTATCTTGCTATACCTGCAGGGAATGTTTAATTCTGCCTTGGAAGTGGCCACATTTGAAGGTGCTATGATTCGAACTGTCAGTGGGATAAGGGGGCAGATCAAGAAAGCACTCCAGGCTCCAGAAGTAGCTTTCCGGGCCAGCTTTGAGGATAAGCTGCTGCTGAGCGGTGAGTGTCTAGTGTGTGTTCAGGGAAGGGTGTTTCGTTCATTCTTGACTTCTAGCCACTGTGACCAGAGGCTAGAGTCAGGTCTCTAGAGATTTGAGCAGATCCAGTATTAGATCTCCCAGTTGTATGCAGTGTGCCCATGCACCTTGCGTCTGCAGCCCCCTAATCATAACCAGTAACAGTTCTGTGATCTATGAGAGAAGTTTTCTTTTCTTTTTTTTTTTTCCCCCATTTATTTATTTTATTGCATTTTAGGTTTGGGGTACATGTGAAGAACATGCAAAATTGTTGCATAGGTACACACGTGGCAGTGTGATTTACTGCCTTCCTCCCCATCACCTACATCTGGCATCTCTCCCCTTGCTATCTCTCCCCAGCTCCCCAACCCCCACCATCCCTCCCCTATTTCCCCTCAACTGACCCCAGTGTGTAGTGCTCCCCTCCCTGTGTCCATGTGTTCTCACTGTTCAACACCCGCCTATGAGTGAGAACATGCGGTGTTTGATCTTCTGCTCTTCTGTCAGTTTGCTGAGAATGATGGTTTCCAGGTTCATGCATGTCCCCACAAAGGACCCAAACTCATCATTTTTGATGGCTGCATAATATTCCATGGTGTATATGTGCCACATTTTCCCTATCCAGTCTTTCGTCGATGGGCATTTAGGTTGGTTCCAGGTCTTTGCTATTGTAAACAGTGCTGCAATGAACATTCGTGTGCACGTGTCCTTATAGTAGAACGATTTGTAATCCTTTGGATATATACCCAGTAATGGGATCGCTGGGTCAAATGGAATTTCTATTTCTAGGTCCTTGAGGAATCGCCACACTGTCTTCCACAATGGTTGAATTAATTTACACTCCCACCAACAGTGCAAAAGTGTTCCTATTTCTCCACATCCTCTCCAGCATCTGTTGTCTACAGATTTTTTAATGATCGCCATTCTAACTGGGGTGAGATGGTATCTCAATGTAGTTTTGATTTGCATTTCTCTGATGACCAGTGATGATGAGCATTTTTTCATATGTTTGTTGGCTTCCTGTATGTCTTCTTTTGTAAAGTTTCTGTTCATATCCTTTGCCCACTTTTGAATGGGCTTGTTTTTTTCTTGTAAATCTGTTTTAGTTCTTTGTAAATTCTGGATATCAGCCCTTTGTCAGATGGGTAAACTGCAAAATTTTTTTCGCATTCTGTTGGTTGCGGGTTCACTCTAATGACTGTTTCTTTTGCCATGCAGAAGCTGTGGAGTTTGATTAGGTCCCATTTGTCTGTTTTGGCTTTTGTTGCCAATGCTTTGGTGTTTTGGTCATGAAATCCTTGCCTACGCCTATGTCCTGAATGGTTTTGCCTAGATTTTCTTCTAGGGTTTTTATGGTATTAGGTCTTATGTTTAAGTCTTTAATCCATCTGGAGTTAATTTTAGTGTAAGGTGTCAGGAAGGGGTCCAGTTTCTGCTTTCTGCACATGGCTAGCCAGTTTTCCCAACACCATTTATTAAACAGGGAATCCTTTCCCCATTGCTTGTTTTTGTCTGGTTTGTCAAAGATCAGATGGTTGTAGATATGTTGTGTTGCCTCCGAGACCTCTGTTCTGTTCCATTGGTCTATATCTCTGCTTTGGTACCAGTACCATGCTGTTTTGATTACTGCAGCCTTGTAGTATAGTTTGAAGTCCGGTAGTGTGATGCCTCCCGCTTTGTTCTTTCTGCTTAGAATTGACTTGGCTCTGCGGGCTCTCTTTTGGTTCCATATGAAGTTTAACGTGGTTTTTTCCAGTTCTGTGAAGAAGGTCATTGGTAGCTTGATAGGGATAGCATTGAATCTGTAAATTACTTTGGGCAGTATGGCCATTTTCACGATATTGATTCTTTCCTAACCATGAACATGGAATGTTTCTCCATCTGTTTGTGTCCTCTCTTATTTCGTTGAGCAGTGGCTTGTAGTTCTCCTTGAAGAGGTCCTTTACGTTCCTTGTTAGTTGTATTCCTAGGTATTTTATTCTCTTTGTGGCAATTGTGAATGGAAGTTTGTTCATGATTTGGCTCTCTTTAAGTCTGTTATTGGTGTATAGGAATGCATGTGATTTTTGCACATTGATTTTGTATCCTGAGACTTTGCTGAACTTGCTTATCAGTTTCAGGAGATTTGGGGCTGAGACGATGGGGTCTTCTAGATATACAATCATGTCGTCTGCAAATAGAGACAATTTGACTTCCTCCTTTCCTATTTGAATGCCCTTTATTTCTTTTTCTTGCCTGATTGCTCTGGCTAGAACTTCTAGTACTATACTGAATTGCAGTGGTGAGAGAGGGCATCCTTGTCTGGTGCCACATTTCAAGGGGAATGCTTCCAGTTTTTGCCCATTCAGTATGATATTGGCTGTTGGTTTGTCATAAATAGCTTTTATTATTTTGAGATACGTTCCATTGATACCTAGCTTACTGAGTGTTTTTAGCATAAAGGGCTGTTGAATTTTGTCAAAGGCCTTCTCTGCATCAATTGAGATAATCATGTGGTTTTTGTCTTTGGTTCTGTTTATGTGGTGAATTACGTTTATAGACTTGCGTATGTTGAACCAGCCTTGCATCCCCGGGATGAAGCCTACTTGATCATGGTGGATAAGCTTTTTGATGTGCTGTTGCAATCGGCTTGTCAGTATTTTATTGAAGATTTTTGCATCTATGTTCATCATGGATATTGGCCTGAAGTTTTCTTTTCTTGTTGAGTCTCTGCCGGGTTTTGGAATCAGGATGATGTTGGTGTCATAAAATGATTTGGGAAGAATTCCCTCTTTTTGTATTGTTTGGAATAGTTTCAGAAGAAATGGTACCAGCTCCTCTTTGTATGTCTGGTAGAATTCAGCTGTGAACCCATCTGGACCTGGGCTTTTTTTGGGTGGTAAGCTCTTAATTGCTGCCTCAACTTCAGACCTTGTTATGGGTCTGTTCAGGGTTTCGGCTTCTTCCTGGTTTAGGCTTGGCAGGAGGCAAGTGTCCAGGAATTTATCCATTTCTTCCAGGTTTATTAGTTTGTGTGCATAGAGTTGTTTGTAATAATCTCTGATGATGGTTTGAATTTCTGTGGAATCTGTGGTGATATCCCCTTTATCGTTTTTTATTGCATCAATTTGGTTATTCTCTCTTTTCTTTTTTATTAATCTGGCTAGTGGTCTGTCTATTTTGTTGATCTTTTCAAAAAACCATCTCCTGGATTTATTGATTTTTTAAGGGTTTTTTGTGTCTCTATCTCCTTCAGTTCTGCTCTGATCTTAGCTATTTCTTGTCTTCTGCTAGACTTTGAGGTTTTTTGATCTTGCTCCTCTAGCTCTTTCAGTTTTGATGATAGGGTGTCAATTTTTGATCTCTCCTTTCTTCTCATGTGGGCACTTATTGTTATATATTTTCCTCTAGAGACTGTTTTAAACGTGTTCCAGAGATTCTGGTATGTCGTGTCTTCATTCTCGTTGGTTTTGAAGAACATCTTTATTTCTGTCTTCATTTCATTGTTTATCCAGTCAACATTCAAGAGCAAGTTGTTCAGTTTCCATGAAGCTGTGTGGTTCTGGGTTAGTTTTTGAATTCTGAGTTCTAACTTGATTGCTCTGTGTTCTGAGAGACTGTTTGTTACGATTTCCGTTCTTTTGCATTTGCTGAGGAGTGATTTACTCCCAATTATGTGGTCAATTTTAGAGTAGGTGTGATGTGGTGCTGAGAAGAATGTATATTCTATGGATTTGGGGTGGAGAGTTCTGTAAATGTCTATTAGGTTTGCTTGGTCCAGGTCTGAGTTCAAGTCCTGGATATCCTTGTTAATTTTCCATCTGGTTGATCTCTCTAATATTGACAATGGGGTGTTAAAGTCTCCCACTATTATTGTGTGGGAATCTAAGTCTCTTTGTAAGTCATTAAGAACTTTCCTTATGTATCTGGGTGCTCCTGTATTGGGTGCGTATATATTTAGGATCATTAGCTCTTCTTGTTGCATTGATCCTTTTACCATTATGCAATGTCCCTCTTTGTCTCTTTTGATCTTTGTTGCTTTAAAGTCTAATTTATCAGAGATGAGAATTGCAACTCCTGCTTTTTTTTGCTCTCCATTTGCTTGGTAAATCTTCCTGCATCCCTTTATTTTGAGCCTTTGTGTATCCTTGCATGTGAGATGGGTTTCCTGGATACAGCATATCGATGGGTTTTGTCGTTTTATCCGATTTGCCAGTCTGTGTCTTTTGATTGGGGCATTTAGTCCATTTACATTTAGGGTTAATATTGTTATGTGCGAATTTGATACTGCCATTTTGGTGCTAGCTGGGTGTTTTGCCCTTTAGTTGAGCTGGTACTTGTTGTTCCTTTATATACGTAGAGCCTCTTTCAGGAGCTCTTGTAGAGCTGGCCTGGTGGTGACAAAATCTCTGAGTACTTGCATGTTCCCAAAGGATTTTATTTTTCCTTCACTTATGAAGCTTAGCTTGGCTGGATAGGAGATTCTGGGTTGAAAGTTCTTTTCTTTAAGGATGTTGAATATTGGCCCCCACTCTCTTCTGGCTTGTAGCGTTTCTGCTGAGAGATCTGCTGTGAGTCTGATGGGCTTCCCTTTGTGGGTAACCCGACCTTTCTCTCTGGCTGCCCTTAGTATTTTCTCCTTCATTTCAGCCCTGGTGAATCTGACGATCATGTGCCTTGGGGTTGCTCTTCTTGACGAATATCTTTGTGGTGGTCTCTGTATTTCTTGGACTTGAATGTTTGCCTGCCTTGCTAGGTTGGGGAAGTTTTCCTGGATAATATCCTGAAGAGTATTTTCCAGCTTGGATTCATTCTCTTCGTCGCATTCAGGTACGCCTATTAAACGTAGGTTAGGTCTTTTCACATAGTCCCACATTTCTTGGAGATTTTGTTCATTCCTTTTTACCCTTTTTTCTCCATTCTTGCCTTCCCGTTTTATTTCATTGAGTTGATCTTCGACCTCTGATATCCTTTCTTCTGCTTGGTCAATTCGGCTGTTGATACTTGTGCATGCTTCGTGAAGTTCTCGTGTTGCGTTTTTCAGCTCCATCAATTCACTTATATTCCTTTCTATTTTGTCCATTCTCGTTAGCGTTTCGTCAAATCTTTTTTCAAGGTTCTTAGTTTATTTGCTTTGGGTTAGAACATGTTCTTTAAGTTCACAGAAGTTTCTTACTACCCACCTTCTGAATTCTGATTCTGTCATTTCCTCACACTCGCTCTCCCTCCAACCTTGTTCCCTTGCTGGTGAGGAGTTGTGATCCCTTGTAGGAGGAGTAGTTTTCTGGTTTCGGGTGTTTTCATCCTTTTTGCGCTGGTTTCTTCCCATCTTTAAGGATTTATCCACCTGTTGACTTTGTAGTTGCTGGCTTTCAGATTGGGTCTCAAATCTTTCAGATTGACGTTCTGTTTGTTGATGATGAAGTTATTTCTGTTTCTTGGTTTTCCTTCTGACAGTCTGGCCCCTCTGCTGTAGGTCTGCTGAGGTTCACTCCAGGCCCTGCTTGCCTGGGGTTCACCTGCAGCAGCTGCTGAACAGTAAGGGTTGTTACCAGTTTTCTTCTTCTGCTATCTTTGTCCCAGAAGGATACCCGCCTAGTGTCAATCTGATCTTTCCTTTATGAGGTGTCTCTTTGGATATATAGGGGTCAGGGAGCTGCTTGAGGAGACGGTCTCTTCTTCATAGGAGCTCAAATGGTGAGCTGTGAGCTCTGTTGTTCATTCAGAGCTGCTGGGCAGGTACGTTTAGGTCTGCTGCAGCAGAACTTATAAACTGCTTTTTGTTCCCAGGTGCTCTGTCCCAGGGATTTAGGGCTTTATTTATGAGTTTCCGTTATGCTGCTGCCTTCTTTTTTTTTTTTCCTTCAGAGCTGCCCTGCCCAGCAAGGAGGCAGCCTAGTCACTGTCGGCCTGTAGAGGCTTTGCTGAGCTGCTGTGGGCTCCGCCCAGCTGCCGAGTGAACTTCTCTGCAGTCCTGTTTATATGGGTGTAGTTAGAACTGCTTTGGCGATGGTGGCTGGCTTCTGTTGAGGTGGAATCTCTGTTATGGCGGGTTGCCTTGGCAATGGCAGGCTGCCTCAGCAATGGCGGGTTGCCTTGGCAGTGGCGGGCTGCCTCAACAATGGCGGGTTGCCTTGGCAACGGCGGGCTGCCTCAGCATTGGCCGACTACCTCCGTCGTGGCGGGCTGCCTCGCTAATGGCAGACGCCCCTCCCCCACAGAGCTGGACCGTCCCGGGTTCAGCTGCGCTTGCTGTAAAACTCTCAATCCAGAGTTTCTGATTGCTGTTCTTTTGTGGGGGTGGGACTAGCCCAGCCTGATCGCCTGGCTACCTGCCTCAGAGCCTTTTTTAAGTTGGTGTTCCAGCCGCCTGTTGAAGAGGCGCCGGGGTCTGTTTGTTTTCAACCCTGCGGCCACTCACTGCGCTGGCACTAAGGTTTGTGGCGCTTTTTTTTTTTTTTTTGCCCTGGAATCTACTGTCCTGATTCCCTGCTCAGTCCCCTTTTTAAGCAGACGAATGGGCGACTTCCCGTGGCTCCAATCGCCAGCCAAAAGGGCACCCAGACCGGTGTATTTTGTACGGAGAACCGCTGCTCCGGGGCGCCGACAAAGCAGCCACGTGGGGCAAAGCAGCGGCGCTGGCCCGCACAGCCGCGCTGGCGACCCGTGGAGCTCCTCTGCCTGGGATTTTCCTAGTCTGTGGGCAATTAAAATGCGGCATCCACTCACCCTCTGCGCTTTCACTGGGAGCTGCAATCCTGAGCTGTTCCTAAACGGCCATCTTGGATCCTGTCCAAGAGAAGTTTTCTTAACGAGCTTTCTCTTCACATACTTTGCCAACAGGTAAAGAAGTTTGGAGTGCAGGTTTTGTTCTTTGTTTGTTTGCAATATGAATATGAAGCTTATTTTGAAAATGTTAAAGTACCTTTCTTTTCAGATATTGTGTTCATGTGAACTTGGTATACAGTTTTAGTCTCAGCCTTCTATAACCCAGTAACATCTTTGATGAAACCAGTGGGTGAAAAAGACACCTGGTCAGGAATGCAGACCACAGGTCAACTCAGGCTCACCCACAGCATCAGACTAAAGGCGAACAAGGACTCTCTGTATAAGGTAGCAGTCATGTGTGTGTTAGTGCAGATGCAGCCTGTGCTCTGCAACAGGGAGTCACATAGACACTTTTCTATAATGTCTTACATGCTTTGAATGTCCAAATATAAAGTCTAACATTGAATTTGATTGAAAGTTGTATATTCATGGAATATTTTGGAAGAGAACGCCAAAAAAGTGGTAATAGTGTTTCTTTCTGGATTGAAGACAAACTTTTCTTTTTTAAAATAAATTTTATATCTCAGAACGGTGGCTCATGCCTGTAATCCCAGCACTTTGGGAGGCTGAGGCGGGTGGATCATGAGGTCAGGAGATCTAGACCATCCTGGCTAACACAGTGAAACCTCGTCTCTACTAAAAATACAAAAAAATTAGCCAGGCGTGGTGGCACGTGCCTGTAGTCCCAGCTACTTGGGAGGCTGAGGCAGGAGAATTGCTTGAACCTGGGAGGCAGTGGTTGCAGTGAGCCGAGATCGCGCCATTGCACTCCAGCCTGGGCAACAAGAGCAAAACACCATCTTAAAAAATATATATATTTTGTATATTTGAGGTTGACCACATGATTTTAAAGGATACATATAGATAGTAAACTGGTTACTATAGTGAAGCAAATTAATGTGTCTGCCATCTCACATAGTTACATTTTGTTGTGTGACAGGAACAGCTAAAGTCTGCTTATTTAACAAAAATCCCAAAGACAATACATTTTTATTAACTATAGCCCTCATTATGTACATTAGATCTCTAACTTGTTCATCCCACATGTCTGCTGCTTTGTACCTTTTATTGTACATCTCCCAGTTTCTACTGGTCATTTCTTATTTGGCCCATTTTTTCAACTGGCTCATTTGTCTGCTGTTAAATTGTAAGAGTTCTTTACCAGTTTTTGGATATTAATACTTTATCAGATATGTGGTTTGCAAATATTTCTTCCAGTCTGTAGATTCCCTTTTCATTTTGTTGAGTGTTTCTTTTGCTGTGCGGAAGCTTTTTAGTTTGGTGCAGTCCTCCTTGCTTTAAATGTTTGTATTTGTAGCCTCGCTTGTTGTGGGAAATCCAAAAAATTATGACTAAGTCCAATGTCAAGAGGCTTTCCCCTTTTGTTCTCTTCTAGGAATTTTATGGTTTTGGGTCTTATTTGGGTCTTTTATCTGTTTTGAGTTGAGTTTTGTGTATGGTGTATGATCAGGATCCAATTTTATTCTTTTGCATGGGAAAATCCAGTTTTCCCAGCACTATTATTGAAGAGACTGTCTTTTTTTCCATTGTGTTGTCTTGTTTGCCCTTGTCAAAAATTAGTTGACAGTATATGTTTCGATTTATTTCAAAGGTCTCTGTTCTGTTCCATTGGTCTGCTTTTTGTTGTTGTTGTTGTTGTTGTTGTTTGTTTGTTTTTATGCCAGTACCATACTGTTTTGTTAACTATAGCTTTGTAATACAATTTTAAATCAGGAGATGTGATGGATCCAACTTTTTCTTTCACAGTAATCTGTTGGCTGTTTGGGGTTTTCTGTGGTTCCATATGAGTTTCAGGATTGTTTGTTTTGGGGTTTTTGTGTGTGTGTGTGTGTGTGTGTGTGTTTTGTTTTTGTTTTTTTGAGATGAAGTCTCACTCTGTCACCCAAGCTGGAGCGCAGTGGCATGATCTCGACTCACTGCAATCTCAGTCTTCCCAAGTAGCTGGGACTACAGGCACATGCCACCATGCCCGGCTAAGCTTTGTATTTTTAGTAGACATGGGGTTTCACTATGTTGTCCAGGCTGGTCTCCAACTCCTGACCTCGTGATCTGCCTGCCTCGGCCTTTTAACATGCTGGGATTATAGACGGGTTTTTTTTTTTTTTTTTTTTTTTTTTTTCTGTTCTCTGAAGAATGCCATCAGAACTTTGATGAGAATTGTGTTAAATCTGTATATTTGCTTTGGGTAGTGTGAACATTTTAACAATGTTAGTTCTTCTGATCCATAAACATATGATATCTTTCCGTTTGTTCATGTCTAAATTTCTTTCATCAATGTTTTATGATTTTCAAGTGTACATATCTTTCACCTTCTTGGTTAAATTCCCAAGTTTTTGGTTTTCTTTGATGCTGTTATAAATAAGGTTGTTTTCTTGATTTCTTTGTCAGCTAGATTTCTGTTGAAGCAATGTGGATTTTTATGGAAGTTTGAATGTTTCAATAAGCTTTTTATTGAAATGTTAATGCACATACAGAAGAGTGCCCAAATCCTAAGTGTGCAGCTAGATGAACTGTGTGGCACACCAAGCTGCCACACCCTGGACCAAGCAGTAGCCTTGCCCTGTGGCCTCTCCCAGGCACTGCTGTCCTGCCCCCCAAAATAGCCACTTTCCCAGTTCCTGATGTGGATTTGTTCTGCCTGGTTTTGACTTTTATAAAATACAGCACATTCTATTGAGCCTAGTTTCTTTGCTTCAGTATTATAGGACACATCCATGTTTTTGTCTATGGCAGACATTCATTTATTGTCATTGTTGAGTTCCATTATATGATTGTGTCACCATTTATCCATTGGTAGGTAAAATAGTTTCCCATTTTTGGTTGTCGTCCCATGGCCCTGAACACTAAGGTCTGGATATGGGACTTGCAGGTGTTCAGGGGCACACACACTTCTGCTGGAGGCTTCCTGGGTGGGGTGGAGGCTCCTGGGTACCTGTGCTCTGCTTCAGTGCTGAGGGTTTTGTGTCGTGTTCTGGGGGCACAGTGGCTTGGCCTCCACCACCACCAGCAGCTTAAAGAGTTCCTGCTGTTGCGCATGCTTGCTGACAGCTGGCTTGTTCAGGGTTTTTTTTTTTTTTTTTTAGGTTTTCAGTGCCTGTCTGGATTTCTGTTTTTATTTAGATGTTGATTTCTTAGCACTTTCATTATTCTCCTCAAAGCTTAACAGTGCATTTGAAAAGATTTGTTCTTTTCTGTGGAGTATTCAGTTTTATAGTAAGAGGGTTGTTCAAGGCATCAGTCTGCCACTCTGCTAGAAATAGAAGTCTCCTCGGCTTTCATTTTATATAAAATAGTTAATGAAATTTTGAACTATCTTACATGAATTTTTATTGAAATACACTTTGGTGCCCCTTGTTCATTCTACTCTTTTGTAAGAAGTAGGATTTCCCTGAATTCTTGAATTTGAAAACAATTTGGGTTCCTAAACAGAGAATATGGAAGATTATTAAAATGATGTCTTTAATAATAAATTTCAAGACATAGGAGAAACTTTTTCTATATAGTTGACTTTAATAAAAGCCTAGAGCAAAACTTTCAATTTATTAACAGTGTTTATGAGGCAGTTAAGAATTTGGGTTAGCTCGATTAAACAGAAGTTAAGATTACCTTGAAAATTCAGTAGAGTATTTTGCCTTCATCTGTCATTTGAGTCTCCCTTCTTTCATCCAGGCTTCCATCAGAAATAGAATAAAGTTAAATTTCTTAATTAGAATCAGGCATCAGGACACTTTGGCTGCTGATTGAAGGAAGAACTGCCCTTAAATCGAGTGGGCGGGGCATGGTGGCTCATGCCTGTAATCCCAGCACTTTGGGAGGCCAGGGTGGGTGAATCACCTGAGGTTAGGAGTTCGAGGCCAGCCTGACCAACACAGTGAAGTCATATCTCTACTGCAGATACAAAAATTAGCCGGGCGTGGTGGGGTGTGCCTGTAGTCCCAGCTACTCCAGAGGCTGAGACAGGAGACTCACTTGAACTTGGGAGGTGAACGTTGCAGTGAGTTGAGATCATGCCACTGCACTCCAGCCTGGGTGACAGGGTGAGACTCCATCTCAAAAACAAACAAAAAAAATCCAGAGTGGTTGATAGTCAAGATGAAAAGCTAGATTGTTTTTGGTAAGGCTAGATTGTTTTTGGTAACAACCACCTCAGTGGCAAAAGACAAGGCCTGAAGTTTTCATTAAAAGAAATCTTGGGCCTATTCAGCTGCTCTGTTGAAACCCCATAGTTCCATACCATAGAAATGGACACAATAGGTTTTGGGGGAGAGTTGTAAGTATAAGCTCTCTGTTCCTCTGTTTACTGAGAATTATGGGTGTCCACTGAGACAGTCCATATTTGGCGGATAGTTGAGTCCTGATTTCTCAGGCCTAGTGGATTCTATTTACTGATCTTGTGGAAAAGTCAACCCAATGAGAAGATTTTATGCAGAAGTTTTAAATGCACATTGATCATAATTTGAATATGTCACAGTCTTTATTTTTCTTTTCAGCCAATCCTGAGGCAAAAGAAACATTTTAATTCACCGCATATTCCAAAAGCCTTGCACAAGGCCCTGCCATTTAAGAACAAGCCCAAGACCCAAGCAAAGGCAGGTAAGGTGCCGAAGGACAGGTGGAGACCAGCCATCATACGCGAGCCTCATGAAAGAAAGGTAGTGTCGCCCATGCCATACTGCATGCTGCATTTAGATAGGAAGAGAACACTCTTAGCAACACACTTCATGTTTCTACTGCAGTCTCAGTTATTCAGGGCATTGAAACTAAAGTCAGAGGAAGAACCAGAGTCCATTTCCCTTCCTTTGCCTGGTCCTGCTTTGCCTGTGCTTTTGAATGGGGGATAACAGACACACGGCTGGGGAACCCTTCTGTCTTGGTTAGCTGTACAGTGTCCACAGAATGATGAACAGTGGTGTTATAGGTAAAATGCCATCACATCTGTGTCTCCATGCCAACAATGACTTCCTAGCACAGGATGCATTTTCGTGCAGTTAATATTCATTTGAATCTTGGGTTGCCCCTAGTCTTAGTGCTTAGGATGCGAGTGTGCGGTGACTGAGAGAGCATTTTGATGCTCACTGGCTTTTGTCCTTGTTAGATCCTCACGCTGCTGGATGCTCTGAGTACCGTGCATAGTCAGAAGATGAAGAAGGCCAAGGAGCAGCGGCACCTGCACAATAAAGAGCACTTCAGAGCCAAGCAGAAGGAGGAAGAGGAGAAGCTGAAGCGGCAGAAGGACCTCAGGAAGAAGCTTTTCCGAATTCAGGGGCAGAAGGAAAGAAGAAACCAGAAGTCCAGTTTGAAGGGGGCCGAGGGGCAACTGCAGTGAGCCTTTGGACTGGAGGGACTGTCCCTGGATCTGCGGAGGTAGACAGTTTCAAACATCACAGTTGGAATGCTTGTGAATGACAAGTCGAAGCAAGAGCCCAAGAGATGTCTTTACCCAGGCTGTGCCTGTGAGAGGAGGAACAGAGAAGCCTGGGCTGCTGGGACCCCGGTTCATTCTCAGCACCTGGGGCTGTCAAGATTTAAAGTGATATAGCTGTGGTTATGTGGATTCTCCTACTTCCCTCTGCCTGCCTCAGTTTCATTATTTGTGCTATAAAAATATCATTAAAATTTTTTTTTGTTAGTTGTGACTTAGTAGTTTTCACTGGGGATGAATGCCTGACAATTCTTTATGAATAATTATTTATTCTACCACCTTCATGAGGCGTCTTCCGGAAGGGAAAGAAATATTCACCTGAACCCTCAGCTCTCATGTAAAATTTTAGAGAAGGATATGTAGTGTTTTTGTTTTTTGGGTTTTTTTTGTCTGTTATTTCCTTTGATCACTGGCCCTCGTGGACATTTCCTGTCTTATTTCATATGTTTTGCACATTAGTATAGTGATGAGGTAACAATAAGTCCTTTTTTAAAGCTTTAGACCAGGAGATTCTTGTCTCAGGTGCAGAGACCAAGGAAATTGTATGTATCAGTGAGGTAGGCTTCCCGTATTATGCTCATGCATTATACCTGCCTAGCTACATTACTCTTTTTAAAATTAAACATTATATTGATGTAATCATACTATCATATAGGTTATGTAGTTTATGATTATATGTTGATATAGTTACGTGCAATCAAATTCTATATGATGTAATCATAGAGTCACATACATTGTGTACTTTGCCCAATTTCTCTCATTGGTAACATTTCACACATACCACAATCAGGTTACTGACATCAATACAGCCCACTGATTTCATTCACATTTCCCCAGCTTTACTTTCCCCAACATATACTCCTCCATGTGTGTAGATGTGTGTAGAAATATGGAACACAGCTGGGTACAGTGACTCACTCCTGTATTCCCAGCACTTTGGGACACTGAGGCAGGAGGATCACTTGAACCCAGGAATTTGAGACCAGCTTAGGCAACACGGCGAAACTTTATCTCTACAAAAAATGCAAAAATTCACCAGGTGTGGTGCTGTGCACCTGAATTTCCAGCTGCTTGGGAGGCTGAGGAAGGAGGATCTCTTGAGCTTGGGAGGTTGAGGCTGTAATGAGCCATGATAACATGCTGCACTCCAGCCTGGGTGGCAGGGCAAGACCCTGTTTCAAAAAATATACATATGTGGAACACTTCATGAATTTGTATGTCATCTGTGCACGGGTCTATGCTGACCTCTGTGTTGTTCCAGTTTTAGTAGGTGCACTGTGAGATGAGTACCACATTGCCTTTACAGCATCACAGGGGCCAAAGAGGGTTGGCAGGATTGTGAGAAGCTGGCTTAGTCTGAGAGGCTTTCTAAAAGCCTAAACCTGTCAGTGGGCAGGTGCTCAGCGTCGTGTCTCATAAGAAGGGAAGGGGATGTGAGGACCCCGTCAGGGCTGGTTCCACCTGGGAAGTGACAGCTGGAACATGCCCAGAACTTTCTGAGCAACTCTGGGTGTAAATGTTCCTCTATTCCTAAGAGCTATTATGAATTTCATCATCTAGTATGCTGATAGGCCTGGGGACTGACAAATAGCCCATCAAAATTATAAAATAATTTAAAACATTTGTTATATAGCATAATTGATACATTTTAAAATGTAAAACTACAACTAAAATATACAAGGCACTCTAAGTCATACCATGTTTTACAGTTAAGTAGTTTACAAGGTGATCAGCAAGTGTCTTATACAACAAGCAAATTTGTTCAAAGAGAAGCATTGCAAATAAGTATTTATAATTGTATAGTTTTATATTTTAGCCAGAAGAGTGAAATCCTTTAGCAATGGGGAAATAAAAGAATGTTTAAGCACAGTTGCAGATATATGTAGGTGGAAGACAATATATGTAGGTGGAAGTCATACCTGCTAATATTAAAAATCTTGGTTTATCATATTTGAAGAACAAGATAAATAAGTTTGTATATCAAGATTATTTAAAACTAAAGTTAAGGAATCTCTAATGTCTGAAAGAAACAATAAATAGCATTTTCCATGTAGAATTTTTATTGGTGGAAGTCCTAGATGGCCAGGTTAGTAAAATACAGTCATGCATCAGTTAAGGATGGGGATACATTCTGAGAAATGTATCATTAGGCAATTTTGTCACTGTGTAAACATAGAGTGACACAAACCTAGACAGTACAGCCTACTGTGCACCTGGGCTCTATGGTATGGCCTATTGCTCCTAGGCTACAAACCTGGACAGCATGTAACTGTAGGGTACCAGCCCCCACATACCACCTGTGGATACCGCAATTTCGGTGGTAAAAAAGGAATTAGAAAAAGACAGGTTAAGAATGCATAACGTGGGACCAGGGGGCCAGAGCGAACAGGAGGCTGCAAAGGCCCCAAGCTCTGGTTTCCACAATATTTATTGAATACGATCACTTTTATCTATAGAGCAGATGGTGGGGTGAATCAGTGAAAGGGAGGCTGTGCACCAAATGTAAGATTGATAGCAGTGGCAATTTATGTGAGTTCCTCAAGAGCTAAAAGCATATGCTTATCCATAGGTAATGCAGCTGGTGGGAGCAGGCTTAGCAAGGAGCCTATGTGTCTGGTTACATTCCAGTGCTTCAAGGGGGTGTTATGTCCTTGGGCACTATGTTTAAAATATCAGAGCTTAGGTCACTCTGTACTTGGGAACATGCTGGTAATAGAGAGGCCTTCCTCCCCAGAGGCTTCCTACAGTTTTTCATGGTTTACTGTTCTTGATTTCTTTTATACATTACTTATAACCAGTTTATGTAGGCATACTGTAAACCCTTTCTCCATTGCTGCTTCCCCCAACATGTGACTTTACTGACTACTGTAGGAATTTGTAACACAGTGGTAAACATTTATGTATCTGAACATAGAAAACGCGTAGCAAAAACACGATATTGTGGAACCACTGCCATATATGTGGTCCATCGTTGACCAAACGTCATGTGGCATGTGGCTGTATGCATAGGCATAGTTTTTGCTGTGAGTTTGCATCCATCTCATAGGAAGACATATATCAAAATGAGGACCAGACTGGAGAGTGTGAAATTACTTTTCACTACTAATGGATTATTCATTTGATATTGTCAGCAAGTATGTTGCAAAAATAAATTCCCCCAGAATGTGAGTTCCATAAGAGGAAGAACTGGGTTGTTCACCTTGTTGGCACGTGGATCAGAGTCACTGAGCTGAGTGCTTCATAAAATTTGCTTGGAAGAAAGTAGAGAGGGCATTCCAGGTAACTGAAGCACTGCTATGCAAAGTAAGCATTTGCCCTCTAAAATATTTTAACAATTTTTATAGAAACCTTTCTCAATTGCATTAAACTTTATAAATTGTAAAAAGTATTCTCTGTTATACCTTTCTATCTTTTTACTCTACACAGGCAGCCATATGTGCTGGATATGTTTTGAAAACATTGAACCTCGAGTTTACATATCATTCCGTGCCATTAAATATTCTTATTTCATCATCGATGTGTTCAGGTGTGTGTGGTTTCCTATTTGTGGATGTACTAGATTGTTTCTTTTTTTTTTTAACAAAACATGTGAACTTGCTTTATTTAAGTATTATCATTTGGTGACATGCCCGCCATGTCAGAAATTAATGTTTGAGCAAAGAAGAAAGACATGAGGCCTGATTCAGCTTTCTGGAGGCTTCAGAGCTTACCCCACTCATGGGAAAGCGCATCAGCTTGGTTGACCTTGGCACTGACTCCTCATATCTAGTATTTTCCCAGACTCAGATATTTCTTAAGGTCATTATTCAGAGTCTTCAGCAAGGACATTGTATTTTATTTGTGTCTCCTTAATTTTACCAGTTTATTTCATGGTTTTAAAGTATTGTACATTTTTGTAATCATTTAATAAGGCAAAAGGTTGAGATATTGGACATTTAAATGCCAAAGGTGTTTTATTATGAGACTTAGCATTTCATATATGGGATGGTACCTTATTATTGAATATCAGGTAAACTTTGACTGGGCGAGTATTTGGAGAAATCTCTTAAATCTTGCCTTAAGCAAAGTATGGACATTCTAAAATAAGGTTGCCAACTGGCAGGTAGAGGGAAGGCTATTTCATACATTTACACCAAATGGTCTGTAACTTTTTTGTGACGGGGGTGGAAGATCTAGTTTTGTTGTGTTTTGGTTTTTTCCCATTTTTTAATGATAAAATATGCATAATAAAACATCATTTTAACAATTTTTTTTTTTTTTTGAGATGGAGTTTTGCTCTTGTTGCCCAGGCTGCAGTGTCATGACACGATCTTGGCTCACTACAACCTTTCCCTCCTGGGTTCAAGCAATTCTCCTGCCTCATCCTCCCAAGTAGCTGAGATTACAGGCATGTGCCACCTTGCCTGGCTAATTTGGTGTTTTTAGTAGAGATGGGGTTTCACCATGTTGATTAGGCTGGTCTCAAACTCCTGACCTCAGGTGATCTGCCCACCTCGGTCTCCCCAAAGTGCTGGGATTACAGGCGTGAGCCACTGCACCCAGCCTCATTTTAACAATTTTTAATGGTATGATTCAGTGGCATTAATTGCCTTCACAGTACTGTGCGGCCATCTTCAGAGCCTTTCCATCATCCCAAACTGAAATTTTGTAACCATTAAACAACATCTCCTCATTCCTTCTTTCCTCCAGCCCCTGCAACAACTGTTCTATTTTCTGTTTGAATTTCACTACTCTAGATACTTTTGTAAATGGAATCATACAATATTTGCCTTTTTGTGTCTTGTTTATTTCACTTAGCCTGTTGCCTTCAAGGTGCATCCAGTGCAGCATGAGTCAGAACTTCCTTCCCTTTTAAGACTGAATAATCTTCCTAGAGAATGTCTTTACTGCATGTTGCTTATCCATACATCTGCTATGAACGTTTGGGCTGTTGGGAATAATGCTGCTGTGGACACTGGTGTGTAAATACCTGTGTGAGTCCCTGCTTTCAGGTCTGTGTGTATACCTAAAAGTGGAATTGCTGGGTCAAATGTCATTCTGTGTTTAATTGTGTGAGAAACTGCCATACTGTATCCACAGCTGTTGCGCATCTTACATTCCTTCTACCAATATGTACCAGGTTTCCAGTTTATCCACAGCCTAGACTATCCTTATTCTTTTTTTTGTTGTTGTTGATGGTTGGTTGTTTTTTTTAAAAAGCAGGCACCCTAGTGC